CGCTGCTTTCCTTCCTCTTTGAAGTAGCAGATAGCTCACCTCTCACTTCAGACCTGTTATCTTGTTGGCTCTGTGTTTCTTTTGTACTTAAGACATCTGTTTCTACCAATACCACCACTGCCCTGTCCAGTGGAGCCACATCTTCATACCAGACTTCAGCATGTTCTTCTACTACTTGTTCACGCTCCCAGACAGCTTCTGCAAAAGGTACTTGTTCTGTCACATAATACATTTCCTGTATCTCCTGAGCTCCTTTGCTTTCCCATTGTTCTTCTTCAGTCTTCTCAAAACTTGCAGCTGTGAGATGTTTTAAGAGGTGTAGAAGAAGAGGCGTCATGTGGCGGCGCCAAGATTTGACAGCAAAACACAAAGACAATCATCAGTGTTAGGAGACAACACAGAAATGAAGAACCACATGCTTTAGGTGACACTTGTTTCAAGCATTAAAGAATGAGATGCGTTTAAGATCCACGTAGTACCTTTTTTAGTAGCATAAATTTTTATATCCTGTTCAACCTCTGTGTGCAGAATCCTCTCAATCTTCTTAGCTTCGGTTTCTTTTAAGCAATGAATCAAAATTGATTCCAAGATGGTGTGTGGTGAAGAAAACGATTTGGAAAGAGAAAAATGTAAAGACAGTCAACAAACACGTGTCAAATAACACAAACAAGCCAAGAGATGGAAGACGTTGACAAAACCTTTGGAGAAGTGGCAACAGTTCAGTCTGAAGTCACACATTTAGTCAGCTGGAATTTCTTACCACCAATATTTGATGACACATCGATAGATGTCACATTTACTTATTCTCCACTGAGGCCAAATGAATTCAGCTCTGATAGCATTTTGTTATCTTGTTGCATTAAAGACGGAAATGTAACAAAGAAAAAATCATTTTCTTAGTGATAATTAAGAACAATAAAGAGATTTTTTTTACGTGATCAAATGTTTTTCAACATTAAACACTCAAATAAAAGAGCATCATTTGATAACATTTAAGTGATTGCTGAGATTCGGGCTTCAGTTCAAATCTTGGCAGTCCTCATGCTCAAACATGCATGACGAAGATACAAAGAAAGACAAAAACAGCTGAAGTCTGCTGTACCTTTAGGAAGAATTTCTTCTACCTCTTGTTTAGGTTTGGCCTTAGATACAATATCAGGTATTTTATCAGGGGCCTTTACGTGAACTGTTTTCTCTACGGAGATCTTCTCTGTTTGCTTCTTTGAAATGAGCTCAACTTTGATTTCCTCAGTGCTTACAGATGTCTGCTTCTCAGTAACCAAAGCTTCTTCAACCACCTTCTGAGGAACATTTACAGGCTTCCTCTTAGGAAGAGCCTCCTCTGGGACTTTTTCCTCACGTGGTTTTTCTGGTACTTTCTCAGGTAATTTTTCTGGCTCCAGCTTTGGAATTTCCTTCACGCCTTTCTCGGGTTTCGGCACTTTCTCCAAGCGTCTCTCGGGTACTGATTCAGATATTTTCTCAGGAAGCCTCACAGGTTCAGGCTCCAACACAGCAACCTCATCAAACACCTTCTGATAGCTTTTTTCAGGTACAGCTTTAGGTTCGAGCTTCAAAGCTTTAAGAGGGTGTGACACAAGAACATGCAAAAGACATGACAATAAAGAACACAAATGTGCTTTCACACAAGAAACAAGTAGTTCATGAAGTCATTTAGACCCCAAAGGGTCACTCTGTGAAGAATAATATATGACTATAATTTCTTTTAGAGGTCAATTAGTGTGATGGCCTAAATGTTTACCTTCATATCTTGCAGCAGAAATGTGTTAAAGAGGAAATCTCATAGAGTAAAGACATTGAAAGGCACCTCTAAATGTACATTTTGGATATAAAATGAATAATGAAATGTATCATCATAGCATTTCTTTACTTAAAGAGACTCAAAAGACAGTGAATAAAGTCTGCCCCTGTATTAACGAAACTTCATATGTGAAATAGAAATGTACCTTTCTCTTTCTTTGTTGGTTCTTCCTTTGGTGGAACGACAGCAGGCTCTGCTTTCTTGGCTGCTTTTGGAAGCTCAGTTATTTTTTCCTCCACAGGAACTTTAAAGAGTATTATTGGCATATATTAAAAGTCTTTTAGCAAATTCAAGTTGAAGAGTTTCATTAGAGAACAATGAAACACTCTATCGAGTGCAGGACAAGAACAATCACAACATGCAGCAACAAAATGAGAGAGGTTAGCCATTAGAAAATAATATGCCACAGAACCTAAAGAGTTTAGGGTTAGTATGAGAATTTTGGTTAGAAGTTTCCGGATGACTGAATTAGCTTCAGGTACCTTTAACTGCCACAGGTTTCTTCTGTGGCGCTTGTTCCTCAAACTTTTCTGGTTGTGCAAGTGAAGGTTGGGGTGGTTGGATTGGAGATGAAACCTCCTTCTTTGCTGGTTCTTCTGATGCTTCAAAATAAAATTCCGTTTACTATCATTATAATAATAATAATAATTATTATTATAGTTAGGTAAATATGCAGTCGGCAGATATCAACATCAAAATGTACTCACAGATAAATCCCTGAAAAGAATCTGTGGTACTCAAAGGTTAATACGAGATTTGTTCGCACTACCATCAAAAACACTAATGTGAAGAAGTGAGTTAAAGTTGGACAGTGGAGTTAAGAAGATTAAAGAAAAAACACCACATTAAGAAAAACTCCACAGCCATATTACCTTTTTTTGTAGGTTCCTTTGGTGCAGGAGTTGGTTCTGGTTTGGTTGCTGGGGGTTCTGGTTTGGTTGCTGGGGGTTCTGGTTTGGTCGCTGGGGGTTCCGGTTTGGTCGCTGGGGGTTCCGGTTTTGGCACCGCAGGCTTCGGTGCTGTTATTTCTGCTTCTGATTTTTTCACCACAGGTTCAGGCTTGGGAACCACTGCAGGTTCTTTTGGTTCTGGTTTTGTTAGAGAAGGCTCGGGTTTACGAGCTTCCGGTTTAGGTTTGTCTGGTTCTAGCCTGGTTTCAGCTGGCTTGCGCCTGGTCTTTGATGGATCTGGTTTTGCAGCTTCTTCAGGGACTAGCAACATTTAGAGTTGTTTAGATAAACAAAGACAAAGACTTCGCTTCCACTCTTGAAGCTAAATGAACAGTTTGAAGATCTTAATACTAAAGACAGAAGCATACACAGTAGACTACAAACTCAACACGAACATCCAAACAAAACAGGAAATACCTTTGGATGGTGGCGTCACCACTTTCTTTACTGGTACTGGTTTAGCTTCAGGCTCCTGCTCGGGGATTTGTTCAGGTTTAACCTTGGGTTCTGCTTTGGGTGTAGGCACTGGCTTTGCTTCTGGTTCTGCTTTGGGTTTGGGCTTGGGCTCAGCTTCAGGCTTAGCTTTAGGGGCCACTACTTTGGAGTCTGCTGGCACCTGAGGCTTGGGTTCATCTTTAAATGGGTAAAAACATTCTTTGTTAGGATTAAGCATGACATATAAAACAGATAAAGGTTTCAATGAAGCCAGACTGACTCAGCGTGGTGGGAAACTGTATAGTGTTGATAAGACATCAAAGAAACATTAAACAACATGAAGTACCTTTCTTTAGCACTCCAGGCTTCTCAGTAGGTGGAGGTGGGGAAGCAGTTGGCTTTTTGACTTCCTCTGTTTCTTTAAGGAAATATTCAAACATATAATAATCAAATGAGACAACAGATTGTCATTAGCAAAGATGTTCTAAAGAAATCTGTAGGAATCCCTACCTCTGGGAACAGGAACATCCTTTTCTGGGACTGAAACCACAGGAATCTTTTCCTCCACTTGCTTTCTGGCTTCAGGCTCTTCAAATGTGCAGTTAAATTAAGTGAAGGTCGAGCAACATTAAAGAGGTTTAGGAAGTAAAAGATCAAACAAACACAAAGTATAGTTGAGATAACAGTAAAAACAAAAGAAGCTAGAAATGTAATTAATAAGCATTTACATGTCAACATCAACAGTTTGTCAGTACCTCTCTGTGGTGATGCTGGTGTTGGCTTCTCTTTAGGCCTTTCCTCAACTTTGGGAAATTAAAAAAAACACAATTAGGTGAAGAAGAGAAGTGCAGCAGAATACACGGCGCCATTTTAAAAACTGAGAACGCCACTACAGTAGATAATATAATAAAAGAACAAAAAGACACAGTTGTAGGATGAGGGAAAGCAGAAGATGGGGAAAGCAGAATATGCTCGGCTCTGCTGTACCTTTTGTTGGGATTTCCTCTCTCATTTGAACTTGTTTGGTCTCCACTGTCTCCTCAATGGCAACTCTTACAACTGCTGGAAAAACACACGCACAAAGGAACACATCAAAACATAAACATTCTTAAGTCTTCATAAGTCAAACACGGTATCCAACACTTTTAATTTATTTTTTTTCTTTTAAGCTCAGAATTTCTAGATAAGCTTTTCAAGCATTTGGACATAAGTCGGTGCAATCTAAAGCATTTGGTCATTAGTGTGTGGTGTGTTTTAGACGGGACAAGCGAGGTCAAAAGATCAGTGCAAACCTAAACTGTGCAAAGCACTCTGATAGGAGCCAGAATGATAATGCAGAACAATGTGATAAGAAACTAAAAGATTCAGAAAGTCAACAGTAACCACAAACAGATCATCAGATATTAGGCTGTTACTGAACCAAAAGTGGTTATTAAAAAAACAAGCACACAAACAGAGGCTGATAGTGAAACGAGGGATAAAAAAGAGAGATGTATGCAAACACAAATATATAAGATAAGAAAAAACATACATTTAAAAAAAGACAAATGTCAAGATAGACATGAGTAATGTGGCTCAAACGCACACAGGTATTGCTGTGCATGCTCCCGACATTGGGCTGCCAAGAGCATGATGAGCACATCATACAAAACTGCTGGCCAGTCAAAGGCCTCAAGCCCAGGCCAATCAATACCCTAACACCTGTACAGTCTGATGATAAAGAAAAAAGAGATAAAGCTGCACATCTTTGAGATGGCAGAACAAAAATCTACATTTTATTTGTCCTCGTTTAAAAACAGAAGTTGAACTTCTTAAAATCTTCAAACTGGAACGACTTTTTTAAAAAGCTCTATTCTTAGTGATCCGTTACACACCAAACACCATTTACATGCAAAAGCTAATACAAATGTGTGTGGAGAGGGCCTTGTCTACCCATATATACTTGTTGTTGTTCAGCTGGTGGAGGTAGAACTCTAACTAACTCTTACTAAGCCCAGCCACAATACAAAAAGTGTAAAAGCAAGAGTGCAAAATGTAGTATTTTTACTGTGCTTAAACCTAATGGAACAGAACTGAACACAACGTATTTTATGTAATAAATCTCATCCCTAAAACCAGACTCACACACTTTTAATGTTAAATGGCAAAACATAAGTACAAGTTAGTGAGTGTGGCATCAAGATGGAAAACTGGATTAAAGTTACAAAGTGACAACAAAACACATTCAGAACATTGGGCACAAAGAAAGAAAGAAGAACAAATTAACAGGAAAAAAGACAAAACGCAGGAGCATAAAAACAAACAGTAAATACCTTCAATCTCTTCTTCATAATGATAGAATTCATAAGACTCTTTAAAAGACAAAAAACATTTTTATTCCATTTCATTGTTAAATTCAGGTAAACATTGTTTTAATTCTAAGTGGGCCACACAACTACTATGAAATTTCTATAACAGAAACTGCTCTGTAAATTCCCTGATGTGATAAATGGAACAAAGTGAGCTGCTTATGATGCCTTACCTTGAATTGCAACTGACGTAGGCACTTCAGGCCTCTGAACAGAGGAATCTGGCATATCTACAGAGTATGGTACCAAAAGTTTTGTTTTGGTTAAGCAGTTAACTATTGGTTAACTATTAAAAACAAAACCACTGTGTGAGTAGAAGTGTAGGACATTTTGGAAAATCCTCTTGCTTGGTAGCACGAGATAAAAAGTATAGATAGGCACATTTCAACCATTACATCAATTAAGTACAACCAGCTAGCATAGTCCTGTAGTAACACAGGCTAGTGGGTACCGTACCTAACCACCTAACTTGAAACTAGAAACTCCATATCCGACCTTTTAGGCCTGGACCTTAAGTTCAACATCTTAACAGCTTCCCAAAAATAAGCTAGTTGGTTTCACTTTTATAAAAACATAGATAATAGTTTTATAGATAATGGGAAAATGCATCTGGTCCTAGAAGATCTTAAATTTGGTCAAATACAACCTCAGATGAACAACAATATACATTGTGTCGTTACATATTTAACAAACACTGAGCAAAAAGGCAGACACAGTATGACTACTGCCTTTATAGGAATAAAGCATGTAAGTAACAGAAAGTTGCTGCTGGTCACATTCAATAGATTAAATGACGATCGACACAAGTGTGTCTACGACTGTAAAAGCAGAAGTGTTAGCAGTTTGCTAATCTGACGCATTCAGGCGGAATTGGAAAGCAGGTGGAAAATCCCAGGAGTGGACATCAAATTCCCCTCAAGGACAAACGACAAATGGCAATGACATCCACCCACTGATCCATCCATGGCCAAACAAGCCCAGAGCCTCCTTAGCCACCACCTCCAGCTCTTCGGGTGGGTGACTGAGGTGTCTTAAAGATAGCCAATTTGTCCTTGGTCTTCCCCAAGGTCTCCTTCCTGTGGTAAATGCCCAGAAGACCTAATATAGCAACCAGGAGGTATCCTCCTCACATGCCTGAGCCACCTCGCCTGGTTCCTGTGTGCAGAACTTGCCGAGCAGAGCTGCTCTTTTGAGTCCCTCACCCTGTCTCTAAAGAAGGGCCGAGCTACCCTTTGAAGAAAGCTCATTACCGTCATTCGTTATTTAAGTCATTACTCAGAACTGCAATAGGTGAGGGCAGTAACGTAAAATACAAGTCAACACCTTCAGCTCTCAATTCACCACAACAAATTGGTAATGACTCCTAATCACTGCTGCCACGCCACTCGTCTCTCAGTTACTGGAGGAACAAGACCCTGAGACAGACCCTTTTCTACTCTGGACAGGAACTCATAGTTTTCCAGATAACAAAAACCTGTAGGTTGTAATTCTCATTCCCACATCTTCAGACTCTCCTGTAAAACAGCTCAGTGCAGGCTAGAAACGACCATGTGATGAAGCCAAGAGAATCTCATCATGCAGAGAAACATAGATGAGTCCCTGAGGCCACTAAAGTCAAAATTTGCCTCTTAGCTATGTCCAACAGCCAGTGGGGACAGGTCTGACTCATTACTGACAATACGGACCTTATGTTATGGTCCCTGTGTCTCGCCAGCTGACTCCGTGTCAGGGGACACGGCGGAGTCCCGCCCTGGACCCACGCACCTGCACTTGTCATCACACCTGCTGCCGATTCCAGTGGATTAAAGCACTACTTAAGATGGCGGACCTGTGCTAGTCTTCGCTGGATCGTTGAGCTATCGGCATCATCCCTGAACCCGTTTGTGACTGTGTTTGGACGAGTGAGCTAGAGAAGCTGCGAAAGAGAGGTGTTGGACTTTCTGGAGAGAGAGAGGAGCGTTTTTGACTCATCCCCTGTGTCCCTGTGGACCCTGGAGCCCCGGACCCCTTTTCCCCTGGCACTCTGTATATATATTCACCTGGTGTTTCCTTCACTGTAAATAAACGCACTGTTTTCTTGCCCAAGAAATCCCTGGTCTGCGCCTGAGTCCGTTTAAGGAACCTTGCTCAGGGAACCATCGCTTCTTCTAATCTAGAGGCATCACCCCACAGTGCCACCCCAAGTGCCTTGAGGCGACTTTTGTTGTGATTTGGCGCTATATAAATAAAATTGAATTGAATTGAATTGAATTGCCATGCAAAGTTGCAGAAGCGTGTCAATCAGTATAGTCCCACAACATCCAAAGCCTTAAGGAACAAGGTAAATCTCCACCCTGGGGGTCTTACCACTTACAAGAAGCTGTCTTATCCCAGTAAACTCACCTCTAGTGATTGCAAATCATCCACCTCGTCCCCAGACTCTGCTTCCTCTATGAGGAGTATTTGTGACGCCACAGGCTAACCAAGTCCACTAGGAGTCCCTCTAACAGCTCTCTTTAGCTCCAGTGTCCACCATCTGCTATGCTTGCCCCAATGGCTCAATGCCCTCAGTCTCAGAATGTATTCAAAGTTATGCCAGAAGTGGAAATCGACCAGGACTTCGGCTAGATGCTCCCAATGCACCTTCCCCATATATCTGGGCGTGCATGGCCAGCATCCTTTGCTCTCACCTCATCCAACTCACCACCAGGTGGTGATCAGTTGACAGCTCAACTCATGACACAGATATGAAATCAATCACCAACCTGCGACCTAGCGTGTCCTGGTGTCACCTCCACCTAGGAACACCCTTATACTTGTACATGTGTTTGTTATGGACACACTGTGATTATCATAGAAGTCCAATAACAGATTACATTAGATTGGGCAGCCTTTTCCTCCTAGTCAAACCACACCCGGTCTACCAAACCAAAGCCAAACACCTCATATCAGAAGCCGTGATCATTGTTTGGCGCTAACAGGACTTGGGCACCTGGCAGCCATGTGAGTTTAACATAAACTCCATGATTAATGGTGGCTCAAATGAACACAGGCATTGCACACAGATATTGTCAAATGTAAAGCCATTTGGCTAAAATTGGGTCATGCAACAGGAGATTCATAGTGTGGGCTTATTTTTTCACACATTGGTCCTAAATTTTGCCTTAAATCTTTTAAATACATTATGACATGACGTAATATGTCATGTGATGCTATTCCTCTGAGGTTGCATTTGCCTAGTTTTAGAACCTGGTAAGAGTCCGATCATTTTTGATTGTGTCTGAATTCGTAAAAACCTACAGTGGTGAACTAGAGTGGTGGACTGTGTCCATATCTGACTGTGATAAAGAGGTTTTCCAAAGATGTTCCTGAATGATTAAAGTCATCGAGGGTCTTGAAAATAAAATACCTACCAATGGGGACCATTGCTAATTCGATTTCTGTAAAAAAAAGAAAAATAAAATATAGAATAAACAGAGTGTTAAACACTTCGATAAAAGGTGAGCAGAAGCATAAAAAGTGTTGCCTGACTCAGAACTGTACCTTTGCCAGACAAATAAAGCTCAGCTGTGCTCTTAGCCTCTCCCCTGGGTTCCAACCTCACAATTACTGAGTACACGCCTATAAGGAATTAGTAATGAAGATCTTTTACACTCAGGTCTCAACAAACAACGAGGAAAAAAATCTACAGGACTTTGTGACGAGCCTTTGTAGCTTGATGGCACACTACACACCTTCGTCTTCAACGGTCACGTTTTGAATGACCATGAAATGTCTTCGGCCCTCGCTTCTGAAGTTGTACTTAGGGCTCTCTTTCAGTTCCCAGGTGTCTTTGTACCATGAAACAATGGCATTGTCAAAGGACACTTCACACTCAAAGGTGGCTGACTGTCGCTCATTGACTTCGATGTTGTGGATGCGTTTGGTGAAATGAATTTGTTCAGCTAAAAAAAAGATAAAGACGGGAATGGGTAAATGGCATCACAATTGGGAGTGTATGACAATAGCTGAATGGTAATTGTTCATCAAAATATCATCTAGATGGTTAAAAATGATCATTTATGGGACAGTTATCAAAATGCATGTAAAAATACAACAAATGGGATAATGGGGCATGTTTTTGGAACACGGTCATGAAGAAAGTTAAGAGGAAAAAAGAGGGCAATCTTCAAATTGCCAACATTATTTTAAGAGTTTGGTAATGGAAGTTAAAAGAGGTTAGTAACTGGGAACTACGTAAAACACGTCTATAAGTTTGCAGGATGGTTTCCAGGTACAAACCTTCCACCCAGAGGTCTGCTGAAGACTCCAGCTGTTGGTACTTGCAGGTGTATCTTCCTTGGTCTTCAGGCTTCAGGTCTCTGATCAGTAGCTTCTGAACCTTGTGTTTCACCTCAGATGTGTACCTGTCCTTCATTTCTAACTGCTTTCCATTTTTAAACCACTGAGCCTCTACATTAGGGATGGACATCTGACATGACATAGTACATGACTGGCCTTCCTTACCCATTGTGTCCTGTAGATGTTTCTCAACCTCCACCTCTAAAAGACAAAACGCATAAAAACAAAAATGAAGTCAAAACAAAATAGTTTATTTAAGATAATCTAGTTTTTACTGTAAGGAGGCTTTGTTTTCAATCAGCCAAGAAGACAGAACATTTACAACCACTTAAAAGCTAAAGCCTCTAAGCTAAACTAGACAACTACCGAGGTGAAACGCTAATTACCCTTTATCAAACGACAGATATTTTTTAACAGATGCAGTAAAGCTGTCAGTACTGACCCATGACACTGAGCTTGGCACTGGATATGTGGGGCCCGCACACCACCCTGTAGTTGCCCTGGTCAGATGACTGGCAGTTCTTGATCCTGAGAAGATGGCGGTCGCCGCTGATGGTGATATTGTACTTGTCGCTAGTATCAAGTTTCTGTGTGCCTTTGTACCAGGACAGTGTGATCTCTAGGTAGTTGATCTTGATCTCACACTCGAACACTGCTTCTTCATTAATGAAGACAGATTGATTGGAAATGTCCTTCACCACAGTGACAGGCTGCAATAATGACAAAGAGCATTATGAAGTACATGCCAGACAGAAACAGTATTTCATCCTTGTGATTATTTCCTTTAACTGGACACTGCAGTAAAAGAAAGATTCTCTGGTGGCTCAACAGCTTTTTCTAATAATATTTATGTGCACAACATATGTTAAGGACCAAAGAAAATAAACCGGGTCTATGGCTACAACGTAATTGATCACTGGCAATGTTGACCCTGTACCAACATTAGTTTGGTTAATTCAGCAAAAAAGACCATTGCAACGATTTCAGAATAAAGTTGGACTGATATAAATGCTAATGTATCCTATAACTGTTGGCTAACAAAAACACATCAACGGCACATCAACCACTGGTCTTATCATTAATAACAAAGCCAGTGGTTCATCTGGTTTAAAATCCAATTATCCTTTAAATATGCTTTGAGGATTTTTAGCCTTCAGCTGTAAAAGGCTTATAAGGTATTGTCGCCCCACCCGCACACCCTGCCGGGCATGTGGGTGTGCCACGTGGATACCCAAGTTTGTCAATGCGAAACCTGAGAACAAAACAAGGCGTAGGATTTACAAATATCTGCTATCTCTGATGAGTTCAAAACTCAGTGACCTTGACCTCAAGGTCTGAGGTCATAGGTAAAGTTTTCTGAAAATCTTGTGCTTGTGATAATTCTAGAAGGAAGTCCATTGATTTTCTTCCGCTTATCTAGGACTGGGTCGCTGGGGCTTTAGCCTAAGCAGAAAAGCCCAGACCTCCCTCACCCTAGATATATAATATCTTTAGCTTGTCCTGGGTCTGTCCCGGGGCTTCTTCCTGGTGGGACTTGTCTAGAACACTTCACCCGGATGGCTGAACTCCTTCCATCGCTTGTATCCATTATTTCAGCCACTACCCAGAGCTCATGACCGTTGGTAAGGGTAAGGATGTACATTGGCCGGTAAATTAAGAGTTTTGCTTTTACGCTTAGCTCTCTCTTTACCACAACGGACTGGTACAGCGTCCGCATCACTGCAGCCGTAGCACTAATCTGTCGATCTCCTACTCGCCCCTGACCCGGAGTGGGCACTCCGCCCTTTTCCAGCCTCAGACTTTGAAGCACTGATTCTTATTCCCACCGCTTCACACTCAGCTGTGAACTGCTGCAATGTGAGCTGGAGCAGCTTATCTGCGAAAAGCGGAGACGAGATTCTGAGACCATCAAAGTGGAAACCTTCCACCACTTGGTTACTCCTAGAAATCCTTGGTGACAGGTCCTCTAGGGTGTGTGAGGTTCACCATGAGTTCTTGAAGGCTCTGGAAGTTGTAGGGCTGTCTTGGTTGGCAAGCCTCTCTCTACTGTTGTCTAAAGATTAGGCAATACCTCTGGATTGGCAGAGGCTGTTTAAAAAGATCAAACTCCTCAGCCTCCCTGGGAAAGCCCAGGGTGCTGGAAACAAGAGTCCATCCACTACTTGAACTTTGGTTGCAGGACGAATATGCGGTTTTCATCCTGGTTGCGGAAAACTGGACCAGCTCGTTACCCTCTCATGGATATTTGAGGACACGTGGAAGTTTGCCCAACCAGTTTACTTAGGATTTTAAATTGATAGCTGCATCCTCAACAAATACTGGACAAGGTAAAATTTCAGGGACCTGAAGGTCAGAGGTCAGATTTTCTGAAAATTGTGTGGCTGTAATAACTTGAGATGGAAGTCACCTTGGATTTTGAAATTGATACAAAGGTGAATATGCTAAAAATTTCAGATGAGTTCAAATCTCAGTGACCTTGACCTCAAGGTCAAAGGTCAGAAGTCAAGTTTTCTGAAAATCTTGTAAATGTGATCATTTGAGAACAAGGCAACGTAGGATTTTGAAATCGATACCATAGGTGTATCTACTAAAAGGCTCAGGGGAGTAAAAGGAAGTTAGCTGACTAACAAAGAAATCAGTGAGAGATTTCTAATTGCTGCTGGAAAACACTTTAGAGCCTCGGACCGGTACCGGTCCGTGAGTCGTTTGGTACCGGGCCGCGAGAGTTGAGGCTCAGGTGTGAAATATATGGTTTTCAGGGTTTTTATCGGTTTTCAGCGTTATTTTGTTATCGCTTTTATCGTTTACTCGGTTTTCCTGGGTCTTTTCACGTGTGTTATGAATAAATTTTCTTTTTTTCGGTACCGGTACTAGTTTTATTTTGTTGTATTTATCCGCGACACCTTAAAGGCCGGTCCATGAAAATATTGTCGGGCATAAACCGGTCCGTGGCGGCAAAAAAGGTTGGAGACCGCTGCCTTAGAGAGTTGTAGACACCCAGTTCACGATTAAATAAGCAACTCTTTCCGACAGTTGCAAGTAAAAGCTTTACTCAATACAGTTAAATATTAATTGTACTGTGATTCAACTAAAACAAAATGTAAAACTTTGGATTCTACTGTGGGCCTAAGAGTATTACGGTGGCCGTAGGAGGACAAACGGATTTAAGAAAACACCAGCAAATAGAAAAACGCTGCAAAAGCACACAATACACAATGGAAACAGAAAAAAAGACAACAGGGATGAAAAAAACATGACAAAAACTACAAAAAAAAATCAGAAAGGAAAACAGAAGTGTTTCAGGGGACACGATAACATTTCTGTTTTCTTTCTGATTGTTTTCTTTATTGTCTTTTTTTCTGTTCCCGTTGTGTTTTGTGTGCTTTTGCAGATGCTTTCAGTCCGTTTGGCCTCTCAGGGCCACCGTAAGATTCAGCTTCAGAAAGATTTTGTAAATTGATGTTATTGGTGAATTTTTACCTTTAAATCTCCTTTATTTTTATTTTTATACTGATGACCTGCACAAACAAAAGTTATATTTACCTTGCTGCATCTTCCTGTCTGAAATCCATTTCTAAATTCTTTACAAACATTATGAAACGATGAATTTCAAGTTGCATTAACAGTAAAGCTTTGGTTTTCAAAACAGACTTTGCACATGTCCTGACCTCAGTCCGTTCCATCCTCTTTTGCAGGTCAGCCACCAGCCTGGCCATGTCCTCGTCAGACTCTCTGTCTCCACGGTCTACCTCCTGTCAGCAACACAAACAAGCACATTAGACATCCACAGATTCAAAATCATCCGACCAAGTGATTGTGGAGACCCTTACTTGTCTTCCACTTTCTTCAGCTCTCTCTTTTTTGAGCTGCTCAATTGCATGCAGTAGGCCTCGGTAGTCAGTGATACCGTACATCCGGGCGTATTTCTCATACTCTTTCGGGTCCACGTTTCTCAACAGCTCAACTATGTCAATGTCTTTTTCCTCCTGTGGGCTCTTTTGCTTTGATGGAGTTCTGAGAACAAGGAGATGTCATACATTTTTAAAGATAAACAACAACATTTCAGTCTGGATGATTCTGTGTTGTCAGACTCTAAACTCACTTCTTCAGTTTAGCGCGGAGGTCTCCCTCAAGCATCGCTACGTCCTTCTTTTCATCTACGTGCATGTCAGTGTTGCACTCGATCTCGCCATGTTTGTTGGAGGCGACACACCTGTACTGACCAGAGTCCGATTTCGTCACTTCTCTGATCTCCAGTTTGGCCTCTTGGCCCTTCTGTTCGATGGAGATCCGGCCACCGTGGGTCACTTGCCTCCACTTCCCTTTCATCCACTTCACACTGGGAATGGGGTCACCACCCACCTTTGCGATGAAGGTGGCGGTTCCCTCTGTGAGCAACAGGTAGAGGAGTTAGATCAGAAATGCCTACGTTTTTACACATTTGGATTGTGTGCAAATGTTGAGACCCTCACTCTCGGTAACGTGTGCAGTTTTAGGCTCTTCAATGAAGAACAGATTGTCCGTTTTTTTGGATGGAGAAGCTGCTGGAGCTTCAGCAGGAGACAGAGCTGCTCCAAGTTTCTCTGCAAGATGACAAACTACAAATGAAAGATTCTCAAAAGCAACAAAAATCTGAATTTTTCAACTTTTGAGAAATAAAAACAATTACAAATAAATAAAATCTTAGAGTAAAGATCTGAGGTGATTTAACCTTTTTTTTTTATACCTTTGACAGTGACTTTGGCTTTGCAGAATTCGCTGCCAGCCTCATTGGTAGCCTTGCAGAGGTAGTCACCAGCATTGAGTTTAGAGACTGTGCTGATCTCCAGACATGCTGTGCCATCAGAAAAGCTGATTCTAGTGCTGCCAGATGGTGTCAATTCCTTCCTGTCCTTCATCCACTGGATCTTCAGCGGGGAAGATCCACAGACATGGCACCTGAGAATTAGCTTTTCGCCCTCATCCAAAGTTGCTGGTTTGAGAGGTACGTCAAACACTGGGGGCTTCCTGGCCTCTGAAAGAGAGATAAGCCAGTCTGATTTAGCTGACTGTACTGCTGTCAGTTAGGGATGCAACGATACCAATTTTTACAAACCGATACGATACCGATACTTGGATCTGAGTACTTGCCGATAC